TAAAGCAGTTTCAAAAATTAGTCTGGATAATGACGTTGAATCAGCATCGACGTCAGAATCTGCTAAAACGTCTAGCGAGGCAGCTGCTAAACTTTCCAACAAAGAAGGGACTTCAACGCAGCCTACTCAGAAAGACGATACAAACAGATCAAAACCTTCTTTACGAGATATCCAGGCGGAAGAAGAACGGAAGAAGCAGCAGGAAGAAAAGGATCGGGCCAATGCTCAACATTCGATTCTTTCAACTCCACCTGGCAAACCGTTGAGTCCGCAAAAATCCACAAATATTGTGTGGAGCGCTAATAGTAGTAATAGTAATAATAATAATAATAATAGTAATGTAACTAATGTTGGTTCAACGGCTCCCTGGGCGAGAGATGACGATCATCCGTCACAGAAGACACCCTCACTTCGTGAAATTCAAGAAGCAGAGGCGCGTAAGGCAGCTGAACGCAAAGCAGCTGAGCGACAAACGATCAATGCAGTCAACGCTGCTGCAGGTGCTTCTAGTCGAGAGAATGTGACGTTATCATCAACATCATGGGGACTGATTATGTCGAATACGGCAATGGCAACCAACTCTGCTTCTTCATCATCCAACCCGCCTGCTGTTTCGACACAAGCTTGGCAGAGTGCAGCTGCACCCAAGAAAACGTTACGTGAAATTCAAAAAGAGGAAGAAGAGGCCGTTAAGAGAAGGAATAAAATGCGCGAAATGCAGCAACAAGCTATGCTTAATGTAGCAGCAAGTTCACCTACTTCAAGTGGTGTTGGAAAACGTTATGCTGATACTTTGGTTACTGGACCTAACGCTGTGAACGCAAAAGCTGTAAGTTTACGTATTTTAAAAATTCAACATACACTGTTGAACTTGTGCTTTGACACCTTCTTGCTTATACGTTAGGAATAACGATAATATATATTCCTCTTAGAAAACGACAACCATCCCTACCGGGATGGCTTGGACGACTGTCGCTGGTAAGCCAGCAACACGTATAGTTATGTCTTCTGCAGCTGGTGGAAATGGGGGTGGTACTGTCATGAAGTCTGCTGGTTCTAAAGATTTGCCTCTTGCGTGGGATGAAGGTCAGAAAGGGACTAACGGTCTTCAGAACGCGTACAGGTTACTAGATTATAGTAGATTTAATCTTTGCAAACATGAACATCTGTCGCGAATTTTTTTTAACATTCTCGTTATCTCATTTTAGACAACTTCCAACAAAGTCCACTGACCAAACGAAAAGCGTTACTAGATCTATGTCGTTAAACGCTACCACTTCCGGATCTAAGCAAACGAATAACAACTATAATAATTCGAGCTTGACAAATTCAGACCAATCGCCTCCTCGTCCGCCCTCCGAAGATTTTATGAAATGGTGTCGACAAGCTTTACGTGGACTAACGAATATAAACAGTACGTTACATGGGGTTAGTTTTATTAAAAAAAGCTTAACAATGTTCGTTCTGACTAATCTTCCACTCTATAAAATTAGGTGACGAGTTTATTCAAATGCTTCTCACTTTCCCTCTTGATCCTCCTCCGGCAACGATAGAAATTATTCAGGATTCTATTTATACATATTCTCCAACACTGGATGGTCGTCGCTTTGCCGATGAATTTGTGAAGCGACGGAAGGCAGATGCAAGCGGAATACCTATGAGTAACTTCTCTATACATCATGCGGACAGTAAAACTGGCAAAGATGTAGGAACTGGTACTACGGGTACAAAAGACGATAACTCTGGCACAGGCGCCGGCGCATTTAAAGTCGTAACGACTAAAAAGAACAAGAAGAGGCATTGATTGAGACGTACGGATAAAAAACATAATGGACAATTAGATTCATCTTATTTATTCCGTAACTTTTAGCCTGGTAGAAAGAAAGAAGTAGCATGTCAAAGAAATAAATATCATTCTTGTTCATGTATCATATAGCGCGCTAACTAACTATGCAGTTCATGTGTCGTTGAAAGCTATGAAGCTTTCTATTATTGTGAACTTTGAGGACAGAAGCATTTCCTATAATATAGATTTACGATGTTGGGGGAAGATCGAATGCGAGCAAGGGAAGACGATTATGGTATCTCTTGGCCAATTAATAGTTCGACGACTTCTTGCATTAGATCCAAGAACTGACTAAAGCTTTTTAGATCTGCGTCGTCTCGCTTCATAGCAATCACTCCGACGATGATAACGGCAAACACAGACCTGCATATAAGAATAATTAAGATACGGGTGAATCACCTATTGTTTGCATAAATGACAAGGATTAGCTTATTACCGACCAATAGAGGGAATATCCAGCAATTGGCGGACCTAACATGGCAGCGACATTCGCGAAGCTGTTGCCGTTGCGGCCAAACTTGCCATTTGAAAATTTCACTAGAAGAGGGTGTTTTTCAAGACGCTCTTTCATTTCCGTAATAGCATCTCCTTTCTATATTGAGAAATGGAATCAAAATCACTTGCGATAAAGTCGAAACAATAATACGACGCATGGTTTTCCAACCTTCATGCAGTCCAGTATCGATTCGATTGCCTTGTTATCATCCTTGACTATTAACGAATTGATTTTTTTTGAATAATCTATTAACGCAAGTTGTAAAGATATAGTAGTTCTGAGACAGGAAATAGAGGGTCCATTTGACCATGATCCATAGTTAATAGCCATCATTAATGGTGAAACGATACTCTGTAGTACATGAATAACAAATTGGCGAGCTTCTAAGAAATCGTAAAGAGCAGCCTCTGGTGCTAGTGAATCTCCGTCCACCAGAGTCCACTGCTGTGGGTTACGTTTGATATGAACAATGTCGTCATCAGAAAGATATTCAGCAGCCAAATCTTGCTCAAGATCCTCCAAGATTCCCCTTGCGTTTTGATCAGTCATGCCAAAGATACTCGACTCCATGGCAGCAAGCTCTTCTTCAAAGCCTTGCTCGTTCGCGTACATATCACTTACATTCAGCTTAGCTTCTTTGGCTTGTTTTGCGAATTCCATTTCGAGTTCACTCAAAGATTCTTTGTTAATCATTATTTCTTGGAATAGCGCTTGAATTTTCATCAGGTCGCAATACACTTGGTAAAATTCATCGCATGGGAAATCTTCCCTCGTCAGCTCTTCTGAGCCAAGACGTCCTGAATCATATAAAGCTCTGGTTTCGGGGTTGATAAGGACATTATACGCCTCGTTTATAAGTAAGAAATGGTTATTGGCTTTTGTTCTCTCGACGTTATTAGCAATGCTTCTACTCTTGTCTGGATGGTATTTTAGAGCCAACTGTCTATATGCCTTTTTAATTTCATTCGTCGAAGCTGTCGGCTTTACTCCCAGAACCTCATAGAAGGACACTTGTGGGTCCATAATTACGCTGAATGTTGGCGTTGTAACGTGCATAATAACAAGTTGTAGTTGTGATTGTGAAAGCCAGCGCAGCTTGAGAGTTTTTGTTCTTCAGTCGGCGCAGTTGACCATTGTTTTCAGCTATGGTGGTCATCTGATATATTGCTATGCAAATGTGTGGTTTGCGAATTTTCGCCTTGGTCTGAGCATGGAGCATAATAGGGTCATTGAGCTCGAAAAGAAGGTACATTGCTGCCGAGCAAATATTTGGTCCTTATTACTGACAAGTGTTAACATTGTTACAAGTTAAAAGAATTAACTGTTTTGAATGCCGAGTTGACTTCTCTAAAGCAAACAGCAGTAAAGTATTTGTTACCGTCATTGCGCTCGAACTGTATTCTTAATAACAATAGTCTATTTCTTAAAAATAGACAATCTATCAACAAAGGACAAACGCCAAGGTTTTCTTCTTGGTCAACGATAAGGCAACGCTAATATCGGAAAAGTCTGGTACGTTTCATTGTTGCGAGCAAACCAATATTGCTTGCCATATTGGATAAATTCCAAGCTTTTTGACTTTGACTGATTTTGTTACAGAAGAACACGCTAAAGTGAAGAATATGCTGGACAAGTTGAAGGAGTGATATATTGACTAATTATTTGCTTGGATAAGTTTGTGAATAGCAAATTTCAGTCCTAAAACATTATAGTCTTCAAGGAGAAATTTGCATATTCCAATGAATAATGTGGACATTCATTGTAATCCAATTTAGAAGGGAGCATCCCTCCAATATATTGGTAATGTATCACTAGAAATCAAAGATAAAACCCTAAATTTCTGAACCATAACGTCTGGGAATAGCTTTATTCACAGTGACTGGCACCATATGAGATTCGCCATTGTATGTGTTTCGCCATTGTATGCGTTTCCGCCTTTCAATATGAAATTGTACGCGTTTCGCCATTGTATGTGTTTCGCC